TTGATATCCTGTTGGCCACATAGATTGACACGAATGCAATCAAATAGATTGAAAATTAGAGTTTTACTGTCAGAACCTTTATTACTCTCTAAAACTGAATTTATTACTTAATTGTTCAGTGTTAAACGCAGACTACAGACCGGGCGTAAACAACGGACAGAGGGTAAAATTTAGACCAGAAATATAAAATGCTTACTTGCTTGTACTATGCTAGAGCTGTTAAACAATCTACAAAAGACAACTGAGATTTCATCAATGTCAACTTTCTGACATGGTGTGGCTTGGGGAATAAACGTAAAAACCTCAATGAGATTTCTTGCTAAACCTTTGGGGTAAAAATGATGAACAGGAACTGTTTTCACTTTTATAGTCTGGTTTCTTACTGCGGCTCACTGCTTGAATGATTTTTCCATCAGGTTTTGAATATTAATCTCCTAGACATATGACATATTGATCTCCTAGACATATGCAACCAGCGTTCAACGGACATAACTGTCATGGTAGCAATAGTGATGTTAACAAAAAGGTTGGCGCTTACTCTAGCGATTGTTTCAATAGCATTTCCTACCTCAGGATTATCTTTTATTACTGTCGCGTTTTTTCTATTTACCAAGTGGAAAGAAGCGTACAAAGGCTGGGAAATAAGTCCTGTTAGAAAGTCAGTGACTGCTAATCCGCTAAGAATAGAATGGAATGATGTTCTAAGAAAAGTCCTCCTCTAGATTTTGGCTAAAATCAACGCATTTCCCACTACTGCTGGGGCTTATAGGAGAGCGATAACCACTGCTATCGAGAAAATGAGTTCATTACCAGGGGAATCGAGGTTTCGGTCGCTGAAGTCGTCGAAAGAGTTTCGAGAAGTAGAGTTTTGTTTAGTAAACATATGATGAAGAGAAGTGTTCTCGGACATGGCGCAGCTTCAGTGACAAATGTGACAATGTCGATCGGATTTCTTGCTAAAGCAACCACAAAAAAATAATCAGTGCTCGAGGAAGAACTTCTTTTCCCGCCCACAACCCGAACGGCTTGAAACAGATGAGTGTGGCGTCAGTAAAGATTAGCTTTGAGGCTTGAACGATTTTCCCGACGGTTTTTCAATTCGTTTTCTGTCGAGAAATATGCAGCGCAAATTTGGCACGGTTCGTTTGACTTTCTGTTCGACTTTAATTGATTGATGGTTTTTCTAGCCAAGGTTGCATCTTGATTAACGTCTTTTGAAGACGTCGTTTGAACAAACGCACCGCTGATATATCATCTCGACAATCATATACAAACCGTCAATAACTTTTATCGATTACTCATTGACGTCACGTTGAGAGTAAATACAATGTCATTCATGAAATTCCCAGGCTTTAAAATAATATGATTTTTCAAATTATTGATCAGTGGTCTTACATGTTTACACGGGTTTCAATGGGTATGGAGAGGTTTTCATAAACCATCTTGAGCCAGTTGCCAACACAATCTATATATCATAAATAAGTATGTCATCATTCGGCAACTGCCTGGTTCCGTAACCTTTTTAAAACAAATCGGCTTAGTACTTTTGCATGAGGACTTATGGCTTTCAAAGTAATCTTAAATGAAATGAAGCTGACCATGAATTAATCTTCTATTAACTTTTCTCGCCATTAAGATCTCAAGCTAATCGTTATACCGAATGCATCTTTCAGACTGAATGTAAATCCGTCACGAAAGTCATTGCTTGCATAATTAATTTCATAAGGGAAGAAATAAACATTTTCAAAAGTTGAGTTGGACATTTTGGGCAATGCATAAATCATTTTTAAATTGGTGATGTCAAAACCGTCCAATTTTCAATCATAAATGCGTTAAAAAGGTCGGGTTTCTTATCTGGCTGACACTGAGCTGTCTAGGACCATTCGGGATGTCCCTCATTCTCCAAAAGTACAACCCTGGACTAAGAGACAAAGACAGAATTACAAGCACCATTGTCACTTCAATAATGATCTTAACTGTAACTGAATTAGAAACAATAAAAGGCAAATAACGGAGAGAGAAGCAAAAATTTATATAAAATGGTTGAGTGGCGATTAGAAGAAGCTTAGATCGAAGTTCATTCGCCAGGGGTTTTATTGACCAAACCATAATTTTTCAGCAAATGTGTTGACAACAGATAACTTGACTTTCCTGGCGATAATCAATTTTTTAACCGGAATAGCTGTTGTCTAACATAAATAAACCTAGTGATGATCCTAGCGAACCAAATAGTTTCCTACACGTTACTTGCACAGCAACAGAGCACGGAATCCGAAGGTCTGATGTTCGATTCCTATTAGGAACAGAAATTTTGCTTAATTTGTCTTGCGCTAGAGACAAGGAGAAATCTACCCCTGTAAATAGTTCAAAAACACTTTTCCTTATTGCCTAACAACTTCAAGATTTTTATAAAAACATGTTTGCACATATATGGATATTTTATTGACTGTCTTATAACGCAGTAGACGAGCAAAAGCAACTCAAGAAAACTCGCAATTATTTAATAAGGTTATGTTATCCATGGCAGCCGGGAAGATTTAGTGCCGCGGAAAAAGCACCCAATACAGTAGCCTCTTATCTTCATATCTCATCAACTGATCAGCCGACCAAAAATTTAAGGCCTGTTTTATGTCTTGTGCCTAGAAACAGAAGCCTTCCTTTTTTCTCCACTTATTTTTTAAACCTTTGCTCAGTAACTGAAGGACGGTTGGAACAGAAGATCATATATAGGGTGTAGATGCATTTGCGTATCGAAGGCAGGTGCAATTTTGCTTTCATATGCAAAATAATATTGGGGTTAATTTTTCACAGAGCCGTGATCCAATTACTTCAAGCAAATTAATTTTTATTACACAAGGATTCTGTGCGAATGAATAATTGAATAAGTTTAAAACGTTGCTGGATAGCTTCTGTAGGGGCAATAAACATGTTAATCATGAATAAACACACGTCTATAGAAAAGCTTCCGCATTCGCATAAAACTTTCACAGACAATTTAATTATACTAAGTGTGGTGTAGTTTACCATGACAGATAATCGTTCAACTTCAAATCAATCTAAAAGAAAGCTCAAGTCCCAAAGATAATCTATAATTTTCGTCATTGTTTTATTTTACCAAAGAATTGCATACAACGTATATCTTGCCTTCGCAGTTTTGACGTCGCTTAAATTAGATAAGGTTCAACATGGTTTGGGATGCAACATCACACGATACCTGGCAAACAATCGAACCCGAAATCAATTAAAAGCTCTCGCCGGGTCAATTTGCAAGCATATTGATTAAAGGATTCGAGGGAAAGAAATAAGTACGCAGAAGCCCACACATATCTCATTCCGCAAGCAGGAGAAGCAAACAGAAAAGGTATTGAGGATGAGCAACAAAAGTGCGTCGATAGTGGGTACGGTGAAAAATAATACTCTTAGAAGAGTCACTATCCTTTAAAAATTTAGTGGCAGAGTAAAGCGAAAGTAATTTGGTTCGGTTTTTAGCTTTGAAATGCGAACAAAATTGGACGAGAACTGATTTCGTTTTCTTTGTGTACCCAAAAAGATAAAACTGAAGATAAGTGAAGATATTAATCGAACTCGGCTGTGAAAATCACTCATACGACAAATATCAAGTGAAGTTAAGAGCGGAAAATTAGACTCTGTTTTTCATTGTAAATGTCATTTTGTCTAGACAATGAGAAAAAACTATGAGCAAAAACTTTCTGTAACAGTTATGACAGACCCTCCGTGGTATGCTTCCTGCTTGATGATTTTAATTTAGGACAAAACAAGAGTCATTTGAGGTACTTTGAGGATCAGAATATTCAAGAGCTCTCTAACCACATAGATGACTCTTAGCATTGCTGATTCAAGTTGTACTGACTTGTGTCGCATGAGATCCTTAGAGTATCATCAAGACCTTTCTTTGCACGATCACCTACAAAGTCGACTCATAAATTGTATCTCAGTATAAGAAGAGATTAATACTTCCAGTAACGTTTGATGAAATGTTTAGACCGTTATACGATAACTTTATTTCAAATCTCAGAAGATCTCAGAATGATATCAATCCAGAATTGATTTGGTTCAAATTTATACTTCTTTCCAGCAGGGTCGCTGGACCATTCTCTCAGTTCCAGAGTAGCATTCTCGTTCCTGACGGGTGTGCTGTCTCTTTTCTCCTTCATTGGTAACTCGTCGGTCATTCACGTTGTTAGGAAAAACCAAAACATGAAGTCTACCACTTATCTCCTGATACTCAACATGGCGTGCGGAGATTTGGTGATAGCGTCTTGGACTGGTGCTTCGTTAATCAAATATTTGCTCCCTAAATCAGTTTGGCCCATCGGGAGTTTTGGAAGAGTTTTATGTAAAACAAGCCTGTACATTGGTTTGGTTTCCTTTCTTGCATGTATTTTTAGCTTGGTTGGTATAACAATAGATCGCTTCATGGCAGTTAGTCGACCCCTGAAACACAAGCCTTGGTCAAAGTGGACCAAAATAACCATTCCGGTCATATGGGCAACGTCCTTTCTGCTGCCCGTTGGTACTTTGTTAGAAATAGATGAAATACCCAGTCAGTCAGGGAACACTACCTGTAGTGCTACGATATCCCATGCCAATTTCATTATACTTGCGTCATGTTTTCTTCTACCGTTTGCGTTAATGTCAGTTCTTTATCCCCTGATCAGTTATCGTCTCTGGAAGAGGAAGGTGCCAGGAGAATTCAATGCCCGGCAACAGCAAATAGCAAATCGCACGGCGCGAAGAGTCACATTTATGATGATCACAGTGATAGTCATCTTTTTCATATGTTGGGCGCCACAATTTGTTTTTTCGTCGCTGCATCTATTCGCAGTGCGGCTAGTGATAAAAGCACCGATATGGCTGATTCCTTTTATCATTTTGTTGAAGATATTCAACGGTGCAGTAAATCCTTTTGTCTACGCGGTATTTAATGAATCCTTTCGAAAAGGCTTTAGAGACATTCTCGATTGTGACAAGCTCCGTGAGCACAATACAAGGGATCTGCGACTGCAGCAATGCACTAATACCCAAACGAAACGTGAGCCAGCTCAACATGTCCAATTACTAAACTTCAATTCTATAACTTACAGTGGAATGTATGAGAAGTAAAAGCCCTGGTGCCGTGGGCGTGTCTCGTGATGAACCACTGATGACTCCAAAAGGAGATTAGAACAAAAACGTGGCTCACTGACGAGAAGCAGCCGAGTATGTCACTGATGGTCTTAACACATTTTGACGTCTTCCGTCATCTACTACTGTACAGACTTACGGCAACATGGAATCTATTTGTTTTGTATGATGACAAAGCAAAATATTGTAAATAGTGGTGTCAGTTATGTGTCTGTCTTCCAATAGGTTATATGTATCTATGAACCAGTCAAAGTGCATGAATAATTTAGCTTTTCATATAAACAGAACCTTCATTTCATTTTCGAATGCTGTGCAAGGAATATCAAGCTTCACGGAACTTCAAACATCATGCTAAGGAAGAACCAACATCAGGGCAGGGTTTTTATTAAATGAAATAGTTTCATTTTATTTTTTATCTTGGCGTGGTAATTGTATTTACTGCTATCATTATCATGACTGTACAAGATAACTTTACAAGTAAACTTAAAAAGACAAGAAAACATCATATAAATGCTCTGAATAATATCATGGGAGTTTTCCTTCGTTGTGTTCCTCAAAATAACCCATGCCCAGTGGTTTTCCAACGGTTACTAAGACAACCTTGATTCTCTACAGATTCCTTAACATTTTTTTCATAACTTTTGATAAACGCTGCCATTAAATCAGGTAGATGAACTATATATCTGCGGAAACACAATTTTTGTGGTGGCATTAAATTGTAGCATAATGCAGTCGAAATGGAATGATTAAAAGAAATTGGTGTCACTTAAAGTTGATACGGATTTCTACCTTTGTATGGTTAACAGTTGCTTCAGACCATTCCGAATCTCCCTCATTCTCCAAAGGTACAAAACTGGGCTGAGAGAAGAAGAGAGAAATAGAAGCACAGTAGATACACTTTCGGCGACCATTCCAGCTTTCGAACGTGTACTGTAAGCGACGGGAACAGCCACAGTTAATGGTATGAAACATAGAGAAAACAGCAATAAAATATATATCATGGTGGCTACAGATCTCTTGTATTTTTTCAGATTTATTGCATTCTGACCAAATCTTTGAGATGAAGCTTCGCTGGCTTTAATCTGCTGTTGATGATTTCGGATGATCTTAAAAACTCTATAATAAGCGACTGATATGATTATATAACCAAATGAAATTTGTGAAATTGTAGTTATCTTAAATACTTTTTCATAATGGAAACTGTGTTGCATCAAAACCCGAATTACAACGTTGGGAATAGGGAGGAATAGCACCAAAATTATAGTAAAATATCTACGTCGGGATGTGATGAAGTATCTTCGAGACATGTACAGCCATCTCTCAACGGACATCGCTGTTATGGTCAGAATGGTAATGGAGACGAAGAAATAGGCAGTTGCTTCGCCTATTGTATTCAAGGCAGCAAGCTTTGGATTATTGTTTACCTTACAATGCTTCGTTGGAGATATTAGAAAGCTCGCTGCATAACACGGCTGAGCAATGAGTCCTGTGCAAAGATCGTTTAATGCTATTCCACTCAAAAGGATGTGAAAGGTTGTTCGTGGAAAAGTTCTCCTCCAAATTGTCGCCAAAATGATTGCATTTCCTAACACAGCCAAAGGTGATAAAGAAGCGATAGCGACTGCGTGTGAATAAATAACTGCGGAACAAAAGTTGTTATTGTTTTTCCAATTGTAGTCGTTTGAGTCATACATTTGCGCTCACGAAGGGCTACCGCTTGAAACGTTAGACTTAGGAACTCTTTCGGTGGCGTTTACACCATAGACTCAGTTGATAACACCAAGTTATCTTGAGTTATATAACGCTGTACATGTATTCTTAGCTTAATGAAGCTTTTTAAATGAACGTTAGAATAAAAGTCTTTTTTGTGGTTATCGGATGAACCTCGAAGGTTGTCGCTCTACACTAAATTTTTTTCGAGGGATGAGCTGATTTTTCATCAATTGCCTTTTAGAAAGTAATCAAATTTAGTGCAGTCTTTCAAACGGATATATTGTTTAACTTTTGCACCCGCATGCTGTTTCTGTTTTAGTAATTTTTTTTAGATAACTAAACATTCAAAGCGTATTGTAGATCCCTAACACTTATCAATGTATGCATAATCAGTCTTGTAAATTAAATAACACACCATGTCCTCATTTTGATGAGATAGTTTTTGACATTGGTGTTCGAAATTAGTTTTTTAGTAATTGAGACCGTCCAACTAAAATCCGTATGTAACAGATTGTTACTAACAAATTTGAAAGGGCTGTTTTAGGTTTTCTTGATGAAAACCTAAAACAGCCCTTTCAAATTTATACTAAACTCCCAAAGGAAAAATGTGGAAGTTAATTAAACTTTGTATTAAATTTACTGTATAACTTAAAATGTGATTTCAATTATAAGGCTACTTTATTAAGAAAGTCTCTTAATGAAAACCTCTACGAAATTAATACTCTCATACACTTTTTCGGAAATTACTTTTACCTAACGTTCTGAAGATCTGTTTTACACCATTACGAATATTTCTTATTCTCCAATGGTACAACCCTGGATTGAAAGACGATGACAAAAAAATTAGCACCACTGTCGCCATGGTAGAGAACTGTCCTTTCGTCGTCTCTTGCCAGCCGTTTTGAATTAACATATTCACTTGCCGTAGTGGAAAGAACACGCAACAAGACACAAATTGAGAATAACAATAAAATAAATAGCATAGATGTTACAGGTTTGTTGTACTTCGCTAAGTCAATTGAGGGTGCACTAAAGTTCTGAAAAAGTCCGCTGCCTTGAATTTGGTTATAATGGCGGCGGATAATTCGGTAGACTTTGAAATAAGCGAGCACTGTCCCACGAAAACAAAATGAAATCTCTGATTTCATCGCTATTAACAATATATTTAAAAAAAAGCTAGATCTTTTGTACATAAAAATGAAAGGACAATGGTTGGAATCTTGAGGAAAAATAAGGATCTGTGAGACATCTGCATGCAACTTTCAACGGACATCAAAGTCATGGTAACAATAGTAATAGGGACGAAAAAGACAAAGCTTCACGAACTGAGGACAAATAGCACTGGATTATCCTGTGACAGCGTCGAACCTGTAAAAGCTTTAACCAATATACTCAAAGCACGAAGGGGCCCACCGATTAGATCACTCAACAAGTCAGTCCTAGCCATTCTACTAGAAAAAATATGGAACGAAGTTCTCGCAAAGTTCATCATCCAAGTAGTCGCCAGAATTAACCCATTCTTCACCGCTGCCACTACCGCTGCCGCTGAAATATCAAATGTATTATTAGTGGAATAAAGGTTTTTATTGTTGTGGTCGTCAGAAGAGCATAAAAAACCGCCTTTCGCTCTGAATATGTATTACAAGAAGTATTTTTGAACACAGTGTAGCTTGGGGAGTAAGCATGAAAATCTCAATCAGGATTCTTGCTAAACCTACGAGCCAAAAATGATGCATAGGAACTGCTTTCACATCTACAATGAGGTGACTTGCTGCCGCGAACCGCTTGAATAATTTTTCCAACACATTTTTAGATATTAACCTCGGTTTGTTTCATTAATGTTCAAGTTTAAATTATTAATTTTTTTTTTATTCCAGTCACCTTTTTATCGATTTGCTTCAAATTTCTCTCAAATCAGACCATCTCGACAGTCATACAAAACATTTAGTTTTTTTACATGTATTTCTTTATTGAAGCTGACAGTTTTTGTTGATTACTTATTGATATCATGTTGGGAGTAATTACTATCCTTTCAAGACCCCTTGAAGTTGTTAACATAAACTGAGATGAGATTAAATTACAAATTTAATTTCTTCTTTTCCTTTAGAGATTTGTTTATGAGTAGAATTACTTGATAACATTTTTAATTATTTATGATTTTTGCTTCGCAAATATCATTTGGTTCATGTTTTCAAAACCTATTGTAGTTGCTGAGCTTACATTTGTCGTTTTCATCCGCAATTACAACTTTGAATTATTGGGACAGCTGACCTTAGAGCCAAATACAATTATGTACCATCTCGTAGGAAGTTTTATACAGCTCCTTGGAAATACGCGTGAACGCCACAAAGAATATTGTAGAACAAAGTAAAAATTTTACGTTCAGTTCATTAGCTATTTTTGCAGCTATATTTAAGAATCGGCAGTACGTAACAAAAGCCTTAGTAGGACAAAAAAAATGTTTCTACTTTGTTTTAGAAAGAACTGCGTCAAACATGAAATTTGAATTTCTTGTGGGCTGGAATAGCCATGTACATTTAAATGCATTTTTTTCAAAGGTTTATCGGAAGCACGCTAGTTCAGTTGTGTCTCTACGAGTAACTCTACTCAGACCAAGGAACCATTTTGATAAGTTGATAAAATTTATGTTCTTAAGCTAGCTAATAGCTGTTTAAGACCTCTACGAATGTCCCTCATTCTCCAAAGGTACAACCCTGGGTTGAGCGACGAAGACAGAAATACGAGCACCATTGACAGGTCTATAGAGCTTTCTTTCACCTCACCTGTAATTAATAAAGATAACACACTAGATACAAAAAAAGGTAAGAAACACATAGAAAGAAGCAAAAAGATATACAGCATGGTTGCCACAGATTTCTTGTACTTTGCCAAGTCTATTGCGGGTTGATCAAAGTTCTGAGATATTACACTGGCCTGAGTTTGAAGCTGGTGACGACGAATAATTTGATAAACCTTAAAATAAGCGAAAGATATGATAAGATAACAAAACGAAAATTTTGCAATTGTTATTTTACATAAGGTATACTGAAACGCTAGTTCCCTCAAAGTTAAAATGTAGACAACTAGTGAAGGGATCGGAGAGAGTAATATTACCATAGCAGCGTAATATCGGCGATGGGATGTTGTAGAAGATCTCCTAGACATATGCAACCATCGCTCAATGGACATTACTGTCATAGTAGCAAGAGTGATGTTGATAAAGAGGTAGGTGCTAAATCCAGCGATTATTCCAAGGACATTTACTACCTCTGGATTATCTGGTTTTACTGCCGCGTTTTGTCCATTTATCAAGTGGGACGAAGCGTACAAAGGCTGGGAAATAAGTCCTGTTAGAAAGTCAGTGACTGCTAATCCGCTAAGAAGAGAATGGAATGATGTTCTAAGAAAAGTCCTCCGCCAGATTGTGGCTAAAATCAACGCATTTCCCGCTACTGCTGGGACTGATAGGAGAGCGATAACCACTGCTGTCGAGAAAGTGAGTTCACTACCAGCGGAATCGAGGTTTTTAGACGTAGAATTTTGTTCATTTTCGGACATTGTGCAGCTTCAGTGATGAATGTGACGGTTGCCGATCGGATATCTTGTTAAAGCCACCACCCAAAATAATCAGCTCACGAGGAAGAACTTCTTTTTGTGTCCATAGTCCGAGCGACTTGAAACAGCTGACTGCGGCGTCAGTTAAGATTAGTTTTGAGGCCTGAACGATTTGCCCGACGGTGTTTCAGTTCGTTTTTTGCCGAGAAATATACAGCGCTAATTTGGCACGGTTCGTTTGACTTTCTGTTCGGCTTTAAATAATTGATGGTTTTTCTAGCCAAGGTTTACAATGCATCTTGATGAACTTGAATACAGACGTCTTTTAAATCAAACGCACTGTTGACATGCCATCTCGACAATAATATACAAAACAATAACTTTTACTGATTATTCAGTGACGTCACGTTGAGAGAAAATGCAATGTCATTCAGGAGTTCCTCGGGCTTTCAAATTATTTCATTTAAGAATTCAAGGGTTTTATTTGTATACACAGGTTTCAATGGGTATGGTGAGATTTTTATAAACCATCTTGAGCCAGTTGCAAACACAATCTGTCTATGATAAATAAATGTCATTACTCGGCAATTGTTTTCCGTAACCTTTTCATAACAAATGCTTTCAGTAAGTTTACAAGAGGACTGATGGTTTTTCAAGTAATATAAAATAGAATGAAGCTGACCATAAATTCATTTTTTATTAATTTATCTTGCAATTCAGATCTCTAGCTAATCGTTATAGCTAATGCATCTTAAAGATGAATGCAAATATAGGATGGTATATCCCTCACGAAAGTCATTGTTTACGTAATTAATTTTATAGGAGAAGAAATAAATATTTACAAAAGTTATTCTGGACAGTTTTGGCGATAAATACATCACTTTTAATGTCTTGAAAAGATCGGGCTCTTTATCTAGCTAACAGTTGTCTAAGGCCATTCGGGATATCCCTCATTCTTCTAAGGTACAACCCTGAACTGAGAGACGAAGACAGAAGCACGAGCACCATTGTCACGTCAGTAGTTATACTCACTTCATTGGGGTAAACCTTTATCTGAACGTTTTCTGAATCAGATTGTATAAAAATTAAATAACAGAGAGAGAATAGCTAAAAAATGGTTGAGTGGCGATTAGAAGCAGCCTAGATGGAAGTTCATTCACCAGAGGTTTTATTGACCAAACCTTAGTTTTTGACTAGATGTGTTTACAACAGATAATTTGACTAGGATCCAATGTCCTGCCTTAAGCCATGAAAATGTTGAAAAAATCAGTTTCTTCTGCAAACGAATAGTTGTTTGAAGCCATTACGGATATCTCTCATTCTCCAAAGGTACAACCCTGGACTGAGAGACGAAGACAGAAATACGAGCACCATCGTCACGTCAATAGTTATATTCAGCTCTCTGGGACCAGCCTTTATCAAAACATTTACCGTGTTAGATACAATAAAAGGCAAGAAACAAATAGAGAATAGCAATAAAATGTATAAGATGGTTGCAACAGATCTTTTGTATTTGGTTACGTCGATTGCAGAATGGCCAAAGTTCCCAGGTATCCTGTTAGCTTGAGTTTGATTCTGATGACTTCTAATAATTCGATAGATCTTAAAATAAGCGAAAGATGTAACACAATAGCTGATGACCATTTCTATGGATATTACTATGGGGAATGAGGATGGATTTAAAAAGTAAAGAGCAACCAAAGGAATTGGAAGAAATAAGATCACGACAAGAACCAAAAATCGGCGATGAGATGTGAAAGAGAATCCTCCAGACATGTGCAACCATCGTTCAATGGACATCAGTGTTATTGTCAGAAGCGTAATGGTGACCAAGTAAATTGCACTGATCACTGTGACTTTTCCTAAGACATTAGTTGGCTGTGGTATATCTCGCACAACCGTCGAGTTTGTTGACAATATCAAACCATAAGAAGCATAGGTTGGATAAGCGATCAGACCGGTACAAAAATCACTCAGTGCCAATCCACTTAGAAGAATATGGAACGATGTTCTCGAAAAACTTTTCTTCCAAATCGTCACCAAAATCAACGCATTTCCAACCACCGCCACGGGACATAAAACAGCAATGACCAACGATACTGTAAATTTTACTGTACTACCCAAAGTATCAAGGTCGCCTTGGTAGGGAGGACAAGTCGTGTTATTCAGCATGATGAAACTTCAATGGCGAACGTTAAGATCCAATTCTTGATAAAGTACAGCACGAAAATACTTCATGCGAAATAACCTCTTGCACCAAAATAGAGCTAGCGATTTATTGCAGCTAACTGCAATATCGATGAAAACTATTTCTGACCCCTTAAATTTCTCTGCTCGATAGCTCTTCGTTTCTGCTCGTTACATATATCCAGCACTACTTGTTCATTCCACTGCCCAGCCTTAGATCGCGGTTTTCTTTTTTCCAGAAACTTTTTATCTTAATCTCTATAGGTGGTATTTCAAATCAAACAGATCAATTCAATACATGCATAAACAAGTTTTGAAGATAGCAGTGTTTACCTCGCCGCTTGATTTCCGGAATCTTTCTTAATGGAAATTTGTTGATTGCTTATGAACTTTACGTTTCATACATATAGTGGAAAAATGAATCACGCTGATAAGAACAGCCTTTGCTTTTAAAATGATCCAAAATGAAATAACGTTTGAACATTTAATTTTTTTTAAATATTTTTATTTACTCGTACTCGATTTCTGTCTTCATTTGCATGAGAATAGAATCACAAGGTAAAAGGAATTATTTAATAGGATAGAGGAAACTTCGTGACTGAATCCAGCTACAGGTACTACTCTAAATGTAACTCCCCTTAAGCTACCGCTTAACCGATTGATCTCTCGAAAAGTAAAAATGTTAATCATGAATAAACACACGTCCAAAGTAAAACTTTTATACTCGCATAAACCTTTCACACCAAAGATAACTGTTCAACTTCGCTCCAATCTAAAACAAAGCCCAAGTCCCACAGATACTCTATTATTCTCGTCATTGTTTTATATTTATCAAAGAACTGCATGCAACGGAAATCTTGCCTTCGCAGTTTTGACGTAGCTTAAATTAGATAAGGTTCTGAATCCAGTTACAGGTCTTACTCTAAATATATTTCGCCTCAAGTTACTGCATAACTGAGTTTCAGCTGAGTGACGCAAAATGTATATTCTTAAATGCTGACAAACGATCAACTAGCCACTATCTTGGTTTCACTTTCTACTTTTTTTGCAATTAGTTTTAAGACTATTTCTTCTAAAGAAAGTACCTTTATTGAAAAATATAGAACATAATTATACCATCCACAATTTTTATTTTTTCATCTCATGGAGAGGTTTTAATTATTAATGATCTTTCTTTCAAATTTTATCCGGTTTATACCATAAGAAAACACGGAAAAGCCAATAAATATATGATTTAATTGCAGAGGAAGTGAAATATATTTAGATAAGCGTGGCTTTTGTAATCTTTCCCTTCAATAGCCTTTAGATGTATGTTTTTAAGCAAAATGAACAGGTTTCCTCTTTACGAAGAATCGAAGATTTTCACCCGTTCTTTCGAATGCAATAATGCCACGCAAAACTAAATATAGGAATGAACTTGATGTTAGATTTATCTCATTTTATGACTTTTTAATGGGAACCGATAGGAAGCCTTCCACTTGTGAATATGGTAATTTACTTTAAAGTCGAGAAAGGAAGTTGAAATTTAAGCAGAGCAATACAAAGAAAACAACGAATAGAGGTGAAGATCCACAAAAAATCTGTTCTTGAATGCTTTTTTTTGTCACAAAATGCATGTTGTACCAAAAAAATTTTCGAAATGAGAGGAATGAACCCAGAATGAACCGTAACTTTGGCATCCTAGCTGAACAGAGAAGCTTTAAAAACAATCTTGATAAACCCGCTCCTTTGCTAAAGATTTAAGTCAGTCGCTACTACGTTCCTCACCCTTGGTCAAACTAATGTGTCAGACAGTGAGCCTCTAGAGCATGAGTGCAACATTCTACATTTTGTTATTAATTTTGCTTTTCAATTTGCTTTTAGGTTGTACTTTGTATTGCATTTTTAACAGCTGGAGCATTGTCTGCAGGCTATCTGTGGGTCCATGTATTCCCGCCATCAATTTTTGACATCCATTGTATACAAGTATGTGTAAAAAGTGGGTAAACATATTCCAATTTTGTTCAGTTACACAAGTCAAATACATTGTCCATAAACCATTTGAAATTAAATATGAAATTGACCATGATGAACATGCTGAAAGGGATTTTTTTTTAAGAATCTCACTAGAGTGATGGCTTTTACGGCTAACGGTCAAACTTTGCGCCTAGGTAGTCTTGAGGAACATTCAAACCCTCAGAACGGTCGTAAGCCGTCTATTTTTGCTAGCGAAAGCCGGAAAATTCAAGACAGATGAGTTTGTCCAAGTTTCAAATAAATCTTTCTTGCTCGATCCGTACTGAGGAATATTAGCCCTCAGCTGTTTTTTTACGTACAATCATGATCTCGAGCCGATATTGCATCGTACGGCCCCTGTTAGTAATAAGTTCTTTTTTCATTACACATTGACCACCGATGAAGTTGCCTTTAGGCACCTGAACCAACTGTTCCACGATAGAATGTGTAAAAATAGTAACCGTATTAACCACAAGGCAAAAAAAAACGGTCTAGGATTTTGACACTTTCAAAATGACACATCGTCATTTAGGAAAATTTTTTTACGGTTAACCTTTTCATGACTAAAGTTTAAAGTTTGTCAATTTTTATCCGTAACGGCTAGATTTTTTTGTCGTTTTACGGCTAACAGTTAACCCTATTGAGAACCTCTCTCTTTAGTTGCTAAATAGCTGTTTGAGGCTGTTGCGAATCTCCCTCATTCTCCAAAGATACAACCCTGGGTTAAGTGAAGATGACAAAAATATTAGCACCGCTGACGAATTTCTAGCAATGATTGTCAATCTCCAGTTCGTTCTTTCTGTAAAAATTATCGCATTGCATACAACATAAGGTATAAAACAAATACTAAAGAAAAACATGATATACAACATGAATACCACAGATTTCTTGTACTTGGCTAAGTCTACTGAAGAGTGACCCAAGTTTTGAGAGATGCCACTGGACTGAACTTGAAACTGATGACGACGAATAATGCGATAGACTTTGAAGCGAGCGATGTGACGAGATAACACAACGAAATCTCTGCCATCATCATCATACGAAATATACGTCGAGAGCCAAAGAAGTAAATAATTATTGAGGAGAAACGAAGAGAAATATTGCGACAGCAATGAAATTTCGACGATGGGTTGTCATAAAGGATCTTCGAGACATGAACAGACATCTTTCAATAGCCATCGCTGTTATAGTAACCAACGTAATGCCAATGAAAAAGGCACACTGCTCACGGTGATAACATCTATGACATCAACTAGCAATTGATTATCCTGTGTCACAGTCAAGTTTTTTGCATCCATAAGGAGGCTTGCAGCTAAAAAAGGCTGAGCGATTAGACCGGTCAAAAAGTCAGTTAATGCTAATCCACTGAGCAGAAAATAAAATGATGTTCTCACAGAAGTCCTCCTCCAAACTGCCGCCAGAATGAACGCATTTCCCACCACTGCCATGGGTGAGGAACACGCGATAACCACGGCCGCGAAGAAACCAACTTCTCTGCGAAAGGATTCAATCATTTTTCCTTCGAAATCTTTCATGTTGCGAGAAGCAGAAAAGTTTTGATGGAAACCAACAGTCGTGTTATGAAACATTGTTCCTTCGATTGCGAAGGTTACATCTCCCATAAGCTTTCTCAAAGGGCCTCGATGGAGATCAAGACAGAAAGTTAAACTTTCTGTCTTGATCGATAAAATTGATCACAACTAGCACTTAACGATTTCCTTCTCGCCAAGTGATGTATATATCACACGTCATGAGGAAACGAATACCATTCTTTGTTCACTGCTCAGCTTTATGCAATAATTGATTCACTTCTTTGCACTTGCTTGTCTCGTAGAACAGGTGACGTTTTTCAAAAACTTGCGGTAAACGTTTTTATTTTCTGTGGAAATCAGCAAGTTGTTGTTGTTGTTGTAGTTTTTTTCGGTACCTGTTTCAATCTGGGCCCAGGAGTTCATATATGGTGCTATATATCCACCTTAAAGATATTTCTGCAGAGGTTAGCGTTATCCACCCCTCGAACAACCGGGGCCTTATTTTTGTTCTCTTATTTTTAAAGTAGAGCTTTCCGAACCTTACTGATTAAGTTCGATCATGCTGACAATATTGGCCTATTACTGTTTCAACAACTGCTATACAAACTCATTTAAGGTGCTAAAGCTAAACAAGAATTGAAATAGATGTTAAAACTTTCATCAAGTTTTCAGCTTACTATGGCAGTTTATTTCTTATTGGTAATTAAGACCTACAAGTGGGGAAAACTGAGTGGCAACCACAAGAGGGTGAACAAAATGGTACAAAAATATAATTCTACGGCTTCTTTTTGCAAGAAAATGTTTATTCATCCATAGCTCATGAAGATTCACGTTGAGTTTCGTTCAGATTGGACATGGTTTGATGCTACTCTGCTTTAAAGATTCAGTGAATGTAACTAAAAAGTTACAATTCATAGACTCAACGTTTCGATGCTCCTGTCTGGTGCCTACATCAGGGATGATCTAATCGTTTGAACAAGAGGTCCCTTTATACGCTTACTAATGAGCTGCCCTTTTGTCGGACGAGGTGTAAATAAGTTTCAGGTAGTAAGCTGCCAACATCGTGATTTAAAGGGGCGTGGGTGGAGTTGATATGCCAGGCTTCTAAACAAAGACACTGTTTATAACGTCGATTAGTGAGGATAATTTGAGAATTATTCCACCCAATTGTATGATTAGTTAGTCAGGTGTGCTCCGAAAAAGCTGAATTTTCTTGTTTGCAAAAGAAGACCGCTTTTTAATGCTCTTGCAAACATGTAGGGGAATTTAGAGACAGGCGTTTATCGTCAACCCACCCACACCGATCAATACCTTGTTTTCGACTCTTACCACCCTATTTGCCATAAAAAGCCTGTAGCTAAAAAAATTTCTCAGGAGGACTGACTGTCTACCATCTTCACTTGATACGAAGACTGAGGAGAGAAAATATGTTTCGGACATCCTAAAGGTAAATGGCTATACCAAAAAAATTCTCTGTCAGTGCCAGAAACCAGTTACAACTAGTAATACTCCTGATCAGAAGGAACCAGCGACTGGTTTTGCTGTTATTCCTTACATTTAGGGTGATACAGAACCCATCGAGAGAATTTGGAATAACCACAACATTTAAGTTTCTTAAAAGCCTTTTTAGAGTTTAGGGCATATTTTTGCCAAACCTAAGGATCCTGTCACGAAAGAACAACAAATCGACGCTATTTATTCTATTCTGTGCAAAGACTGTGATCGCGAGTACATCGGACAGACCAAACGTCAGTTTGGTAGATTCAGGCGTAAACCAGTCATCGTTTTTCAAAGAGATTTTCTTAGCCCAATAACAGTCAAGTGATAACAAGTAAGGGTTAATGTTGGGTTTGGGGAGAGTAGGTGCGCAATTTCTCAGAAACTGACATTAATAAAAATTTCCTTCAGCCATTGCTATGAAACAGCCTTCATACAAAGAACCGCCCATGATCTTCTCACAGCTGGAGCTTGGGCTGCTTGTGGTCTGACCCTAGAAGATGCAAGAAAAATTTAACACCCTCCTGCTGATTGAAATTCACAGACCTTTGGTTCTTTCATAGTTTGAAATTGCACTTTTGTTATCATTTAAAGATTTTCCTGTTGCCAGGATATTAGGCTATAGCGCAAGGATCAAAAATGATGCTGATTGCGATTAAGTCTAACCAAACAAAGATTAATAATTTTCAATTTACTTGCTTACTATTTCTCTTCCGTTTTGAATTTTGTTTTACATTCTGAAAGTCAATTAAAAGCCAAATATAAAAATAAAATTGACTAGGATGTTAGTCGCCTGATGGAGGTAACTATATGTCAAAAAGCTTTTGGAACTTCCTTTATTGAATAAAAGGGAATTAGTTGATGAAAGGAGATCAGTCGCCGAACTAATTAAAAAACGTTATCACGGAAAAAAAAACCATGAAAAAAAGGTTCTATTAGTTTTAGTTTACTCCGTGATAATTACGATTCGCAGGCTTTAAGATTGATGCGTACAGCCATTGTTAAAAACGACCCTCTGTTGTCAATAACTAAGAATATTTCAATTTGGCGTTCAAGCGGTCAGTCATTTTATATAAACAATGTAAAAATATCATTTTAAGTTTCTTGTTAGAGCATAGCGCTGGCTTAGTTCTGGACTTTAGATTTTTCGACATCAACTATTTTGGACCAGGCTGTTCTGTTCGCAACAGAAGCCATACCATGTTTAACAACACAACTATTCATTTCCAGCGAAAATCTAATTCCCATCTAACATCAGAAGACGTAGCAAATAATATTCATGCCTTCTATTTCTCAACATCTGTTGTCCTCACTGTTTCATCGCCCGTGGCAGTGGTGGGGAATGCGCTGATTTTGGCAACAGTTTGGAGGAGGACATTCGCCAGAACATCATTCCATATTCTCCTCAGTGGTTTAGCGCTCACTGACTTTTGTACTGGTCTCATCGTTCAACCTTTCTATGCTGGGTTCCATTTGTCAAATTCAAAAAAATCCGTCTCGGAGCACGATTTGCCTATGGCAATTGTTCATATAATCTTCGTGAGTAGTAGCATCTACTTCGTTACTGTCACGATGGTTACTATAACACTAATGTCCATTGAACGATGGCTGCACATGTCTCGAAGATTTCATCTTACATCAAATCGAAGACGTTTCACTACCATATTGAGCATGATCTTGCTCTGTCCGATTCCAGCTATAGTCGTTTGGCTTGGTGGTTTTGAAGACAATCTTTTTTATGCTTTAGTTCTAGCAGAAATGTTGTCTTGTTATCTTTTCACATTTTTCTCCCATTTTAAAGTTTACAAAATTATTCGTCGGCATCAGCACCAAATACAAGCCAGTAATTTATCTCAGAACTTTGGTCAACCTGCAATAGACTTAGCGAAATACAAGAAGTCTGTATCATCCATGGTTTACATCTTACTCTTGTTTTCCATCTGCTACATACCCTACATTGTTAGCATTTTGATTCCTTTCATTTTTACTCCTACGGATGACATAAAACTTCTGTTTGCTAGAGAAACGTCAATAGTACTTTGTTTTTTGTCGTCATCTCTCAACCCAGGTTTATACCTTTGGAGAATGAGAGATTTGCGCAATGGCCTAAAACAAATTTTTACGAGCTGAAACAGTTATAGGAAGACGTTGATTTTTCATATGTTGTGGTTGCATTCTATAGGTTTCTTTGATAGAGCAATAGTTTTGAATTGTTTTAAAAAGTAGCAGTTTATTGTAAAAAGGCTTTCAAAAGACCCCAACGAAAACGATAGACCTTATAACACTTGTACATAATCATTAAAGAGAATAAAGAAAAAAAAGGCAATTCTGGTATAGGAGATGTACTAGGTATATCAGTGATGGCCACCGGCTTCGGCGCACAACTCAAGACCTGCAAGTAAAGAAACCTGAAAGATAACCATAGCGGGGTAAACAAAACGGTACAAAAAGATAAGCTGAACTATGGTTTATTCAAGCAAGGAAACGTAGCGTCATTTGAAGCTCGTGAAGATCGTTGACTTTCTCTAAAGTGTCTTTCGGTCATCATCATTGTTTTCATCCTCATTTTCATAAAAGCAATTTTAAAGCCCAGGTTTAATTCAGCGAACGTTTTTCAAAGAGATGTTTGCAGAGATGTTTGCAGAGATGTTTGCAGATGTTAGCAGCTGTTCATAGTTCAATCATTAGTGTGATACCGAGAAAAATTCCGAGTTCCCATTTTTTTCCATTTTTTTTTCAGTTCAATCATTAGTGTGATACCGAGAAAAATTCCGAGTTCCCATTTTTTTTCCGTGGCAGATGTGAAGGATGATCTTGATAGTACGAGCTCTTCGATGAAAGGTTTGGATCGATGCCATTCTCTGAGCAACTGCTCATGATCACCAACCCCTCCCTTGAACCAACAACAGTCAACTGATAAAAAGTCCAATTTCAATGTTGTCTGAGGGGAGGGGTAGGTGTATAATTGTTCAGATAGTAACATAGATCCAAATTTCTATCAGTCAACACTGGGAAACAACCCTGATACAAAGAACCGATTGTGCGCCGGTCTAACCTATGAAGGTGCAACAAAATTAAACACGTGACTGAAAAGTGGAACAAACAGAGCTTTCCTTTTATTAAATTTGAAATTGCAACATTTCTGTCTTTTGTTATCAATTAAATATTTTTCTGTTGGCAGGGCATCAGACTACGAGGCATAGACCAGAAAGGCTTTCATCATCTCTGCTGATTGCAGTAAAATTTAACCAAACTCGAATTAATAATTTTCAATTTACTTGCTCCCTACTTCTCTTCCGTTTTGCATTTTTTTTTCAACTTTGAAAGTCAATTAACAGCAAAGAAAAAATATAATTAACTGTGATGTATAATTGCTTGATGGAGGTCAGTACATTTCCGAAAGCTTTCACTACTTCCTTTGCTACAAAACGGGAAATCCATAACTGTAAATATATGAAAATCATATAAGTGCACTGCGGTTAAAGAAACGACTATAGAAGCGATCTTCGCAGTTATGAACACTACTTAACTGGTAGTTGAAAGGTCTATCAAACAAAAATTTATCTCCCAAATCGGCACTCTTAATCCCTATGGGATACTCGTCACCATATTCCCATCATAATAGCGTAACTCCATTTTCTGCATATAAACCCACACGCAACCCACAATTCCTCCAATCGCTCTGACGAAGGGCTAACGCTCGAAACGTCAGCCTTTAACCTCTTTACGGTGGCCAATTTACGTTTTCAACTCAGTTGTTAACATTAAATTACCCTCAAATAAAATATATTAAAGTTCACACGGCAACCAGGTGGACAATCAGACATAGT